AACTTAATAATATATCTTGATTTTTTTTTATGAGATAATTATAGTATCCTGTCTGGCATACATTTTCCATGTCCTGGGGTCTATTGTTAATCTCTAGGAGTATACCATTTAGCAATTTACTGCAAAAGATAATATATTCTATTCTTCATGTAACTGTGTAATGTTTTTAGTTTTATTGGTGCAGTGATGGTTGGCATTCTCCAGATATAATAATTTCACATTAAATTTTGAGGTTTTCTTTTTATTAGATTAACAAAATTCCTTTCAGTGACTTCAGATGCTTTATTTGCAGTATCAGCAATGATTATTATAGTGGAGAACAACTTGGAAATGTCTTCTTGTAATAGTTTAATTACTTTTGACCAACCATTAGTTAAGTCTTTTTTCAACTCAGCAAATAGTTTAGGCAGTGCAAAAGAGGCAGATTCATTACCTTTTTTGTGCTATAAAACTTTCATTTCCATGACTGATTGTTTCTTCTCTGAGTCCCCTGAAGGAGAATATTTTATTTTATTTTATTTTATTTTATTTTATTTTATGATGCTTGGCTGCTATGCATTTTTATTTTATATTATGTATTTTATTTGTTTTATATTTTATGTATTTTGTTTTATTTATTTTATTGTAAGACACCCTGAGTCACATATGTGAGATGTGTAACTATATAAATCAAATAATGTGACATGTTTCCACATGAGCATGTAATTACATAACTAATACATATATTCAGATCTTCTGGTGAGCAACAAAATAATACTGCAGAGATGTTGAAGTAAAAACTGCAAAGAAAATAACTAATGCTTTGTACTAAACACAAATTTCATAACTGGGAGAAGTGAAATAAAGATAAACATATAGCACCAGATGGTAAGCACTGAAAGCAGGACTGTTGTCATGGTAGACAAGCTGCCAACACTATATTCATAGCCCAGCACTTTGCACTAATTTTATTATGGAACAGCAAAGTGCAACAATGTTATGCAAATATCATTTTTAGAAAGAAAGCAAATACATATGGGCAACAAAGGCCAGAGTTACTAAAAACAAATTGCAGAGGTGAGGCAATAGGATCAGTTCTGCTTCTTTTGTTTATGAGCAATGTTTGATAAGTATTCATTAATCAGACGATAAAGCAAAGGTTAGTTCATTTATATAAACATAATTTGATTTTTCAAGTGTTCATCCATTGATGCATCATAGTGAACCTATTCCACTCAAAAAACTTGGCTCTGATATTACAGCTGAAAGATAGCAGTCACCACTTTGTGAACCTGTTCCATTACAACGTACCAGCCCACAAATTGCTGAACTTGAATGAACTGATAAGATTGCCTAAGAGGATAAATAAACTGAAACAGAAGTTAATTATGAACTACCTAAAATGTATATGCATCGTGCAGACAAAGGCGCACACCTCTGGAATGGAACAAGTAGTGGGCACTCCAAAGTAAGGATTCTAGACTAAGATAGTGGCAGTGGTATGCAAGGTCTCGATTTTAGAAGTATTAGACTGAGAAAAAGATGGACAGGGAAAGGACATATTGGAGGAACTTAGAGAAAGGTGTGACTTATTATTCAAAAGCACTGCTTGCTACACTGATCCAGCATCTGATAAATTTAATAAGAATACATTGGCGGACAACAGTGAATAAAGTTAGCCAATTATGAAATTCAAAGGTGAATTCATTTCACTATACCCAAATAGTCTAAGTAATATGTTCTATTGAAAGATATTCTATCAGCGCTAGTGCACTACTGGTATATATCTGAGTACAAAAAAAGTATACTGGTTCTGTTCCAGTTATCAAAAGTTGTCTTAAATGAAAAGCCTTCCTTTACCTTCCAAGATTTTTCCAACTGTCATGTGGAAAGTATTGTTCAATAGCAAATTGTATATTCTACCCACATACACAGAAGCTAGGTTCAACACACTGAGTAAATCCATAGTGCAGTTTGATTTGGCTTTGTGTAACATATTATATGTACCCCCACAGTTTAAGAAAACATTAAGAATGTCTTGGCACAATGTGTGAAACACACACTGAAGATGAAACTGTTCTTATATAGTACATAGCTAAACGCAAGAGTTTCAAAGAAGAAAAACAACAAAGTAGAATTAGTAAAAGTCAAGATTATCTATCCTGGTGTCTCATAGAACTCATTCTAGCACATTCACTTAATATTGTCTCCTTTTTAATAGCACTGCCAAATAAGTGTTCTTGGATTCCCACTTTTTATGGCCATTTTTATTCTTGTGAAGAACAACGAGCACTAAGGACATGAGGAAACACAGTTGTGGTTAAATATACTGAAAATTTAACTGAATTAAAGGACCCATAACATAGTGCTGCACAAATCCTTCAAACAAGGGGCTTCACAACATATGAAAGATGGTGCATCTTACTCCAGCCAAGCTTGCATGGACACTGCAGAAGCTGCTTCTAGATGTCTTGTGTGTGCCTATGTGTGGATCTACAGGGACAGACACTTCATTTTACATATACAGAGACAGCCGGGAGCAGCTTCCAAAACGGCTGCATGAACCTTGAAAAAGATGTGATTTGAAGAGAGGTGCTTCTACATTTCATTTCAAAGGATTTGCATAGGCATACTAAAACAAAATATTAATTATTTTTAAATTTTACTATGTGTTCTACAGCATCAGTGAACTCCCTGAGGTAAAATAGTGGATGCCAATTTTTCAGACACTCACCCCTATTAGCTAAGTACGCTCCACTCTGGCTCCAAGCCTAAAAGCAATTCCTATTAACTGCCTTAAGCAATCACTGTTGCACAAGCTGTGATGAGCCTGCTTCAATATGTACATTGCTTAATCCTCTGAACCTAGAAACTTAAGTGGAGTGAGACAGGGACAAGTTCACCTCCTGCCTCATCATATCTCTCCATTTTGAGCCTTTCTGTATGTCCAGAACTAAGGAAACTCTTCAGGAAGAAATAAAAATCTCCCATCCCAACATAAAAAGGTGGCAGGATGAATTATTTATCCTTTCTGTTCCTTTTTTCTAATAGTATATCTACTACTATTACAACCAATAGGAGGAAAATGAATTATTTGATTTTTGCTCCTGATTGGGAATGCTGATGAACATCTCCCCAGCATGTCCCATCACACAATAATCCAGGTCTTCATTTTCCCTCTTTGGCATGTTAGGAGGTTAGACCGACATATCCTACTTGTCTTAAGACTGTTTCTGAGACTAGTTAAATAGATGAGTTTAAACAGATCTAAAAATATAAAAATCCGTTTAACACTCTTCTAAAAAAAAGAGTGGAGCCCAATAATAGCTCTCGAATGAGCATGTTCTACGGTCTAAGAATGGAACAGGAGAAAGCCACGTGTCTGCTTTTGGTGGTATCCTTCCAATAACTAGACTCACTGGAGCTTTTCAAAAAACAGTCTTCCCCCTTATTTTTATACCTTTCACACATCCTTGTCTCCATTGTTCTATGCAGCAACCAGATGTGGCAAAGAATAATTTTCAAAAGAGAGTGGAAGATAATGATTCAAGAACCACCAAGTGCATGTTGTTGCTATGCCCAACACGTTCATTTATTACGCATTGCAATCATGTGTTCTCTACACACACACACATATTTGAAAGTGTATGAGCTTGTACAATAATATGCTTCATTAAGCTTTTAACTGTATACTCACCAATGAATGCGGAACATATACTTCCTGTTAAATGAGCATCTAATTAGACCAGAGTTTTCTGGCATCTAAGATTACATAGAGCCAGATGGCTAAAGTAGCAAAGCCCGGAAGCTTTGCCTGATACTGCTTATATAATGGTTGAACAAATATTGTCCTTGCTGATGTGGCTAGTGGAACCAAATATCTGAATAGGTGAAATAGTGGGGGGGGAAATGCATATGAAAACCTTTCTGCAGGATTTCATATTACAAGGTAGTATTAAACAATATTATCTTGGATTAAAGCAATCAGGTGAGCTGAACAGAAGATCAGAACTGAATACTGTCCTGAAACATCTAATATTTTATCTCCAACGTTCTCAACATTTTTATAGCTCTTTATCTCCTTAGAGAGAAAGGGTGCAAATTCTCAACACTCCCAGTACTAATTTATTCTTCACAACAAACACACCAATAATATCATGAGGTTTTCTGGGACATTAGTGCAAAGGAGTTTTTATGTGACTGAATATAACATCAGAATTAAAAAAGACATCTAAAGATGACAAGTGTTTCTTTATATATGTATAAAGCAGACTTTCTCTTCTATATAGACAAATAATAAAAAGGCTCAGGGGATAGCAGTATTTAATATTTATTTCTATCATATTTTTTTGCCGTGCTCTGATAATTGCCAGCATTGGAAACACGCGTTGCAACCCTTCCTAAAACAACGTATCTTGAATATCTCTAAAGTCTATCAAGTCCTTTTTGTAGTTGGCATAATTTACCCACCTTCCTAAACTGCCATTTAAAAACCGTAAGAGACTTTAATGTACTGGAGACTACCACACTTTCTACCAACAACTTTTCTATCTTCTCATCATTTCCGTATTTCGGATCCATTTAAAGCGATCCCTTGGGGCGATTCTCGAAAGCCGGAAAGCTAGCTCACTGCTTGGGAAATGGATTTGATGAAACCAAACTTCATTTTTCTTTTTCATAGACGTTACGTAAGTTCTGTGAATCATGACAACCACCCGCCCTTCCGCCTTCTCACTATTCTACATCGAGGTTTCTGTAACTGCCGGGTTTTTCGTGTTAACGGGGGAAAAACGGGTAAAAATATCCCTTCCACGCGTTATATAACCGTCCTGCCCTCACACTTCTCCCTCGCTCCCACACGCGGTCCCGCCGCCGCTGACCGGTCGCGCTGCCGCCTTTTCTCCTTCGCGACCCCTCAGGGCCTCCGCCACCCAGAGCTCATCCTTCAGCGCCCATGTGCCAGGGGAGGCAGCAGCTGACAGCCCCGCGCTGCCCTTCCCTCCGACCCTTCCCAGGCTCACCTTCCCGCTCTCCTCTACACCCAACAGGTGGCCTTGCAGGACGACCATAGGTGAGGCGCAGGTGGAATGGACGAAGGTCCCTTTGAAAATGTGCGCGAGCGGCGCAGCCTGCGGGCGGTCCATTGGGCGCGCCTCTTGGCGGGACGGGATCAGGCGGGAGAGGGGCAGCAGCGGCGGCTGGAGGGCGTGCAGCCTGCCGTTGGAGACGGAGGCTGCTGTTGAGGTAGCTCCCATCAGTTAGTCCCAGCGTGTCCAGAGCAGCGCCCGCAGCACTGTCACCATCTCTCCTCCCCCATTTAAGGACTCTCCTCTTTAGGGGTGTGATTACAATCGACTCTCGTTGCTCCCTCACCTCCACCCAGTGGAAGCTTATGTGGGAGCGCCTATCGCCTTCTCCTCAGCCGGTCCTGAGGGCAGCAGGTGCGAATGGCTGGGAGTTACTTAGAGATTTATACAAAAAAATGAAGAATCATCCTTGTTAGTAGATGACAGCAGGCAAGCACATTGGCCCCAGTATCGTTGCTCCGAAGGTGAAGAGGAGGAGGGCAAAGAAAAAAAACTGTTGATGGCCAAAATCCTTTATTAGATTCAGAACAAAATAGATAATTTTATTAGAATAATAATCCTAGTAATAATGTAATAAAAGTAGCCTGAGTGTGTGACTAGCACACTACATGTACCTCTGAGTTGATGAGATGCACGTAACATATGTTGGCTTGCAAGGTAGTCTCTAGATCAGTGTTTTTCAAACTTGGCAACTCAACAGGCTACTGGCTGGTGAATTCTGGGAGTTGAAGTCCGTACATCTTAAAGTTGCCAAGTTTGAAAAATGCTGATCTAGATCCTAGTTTGCATGGAATTGCAAGAGTATGCTTGGGATAAAACTGGGTTGTGGCTACCCTTGTGACACACTAGCCAAAATGGGCCCAAACTATCAGTCCCTTACCATTAGCAAGGAATGCTGGATGTGGCATGGGTATGACTGTTCCAGAGAACTCAAGGTTTCTGCTAGAACTTGATGGGGTTCCATAAGGGGCAAAGAAAACAGTTCAGCTGACTACAGGGCCTCCAGGAATGTGCATAGCAATTTTTCTAAGATACAGAGGAAGGTATGGGCCTTGTCAGCTGACATTTAGAAGCTTTGCATCCATGGTTTCCATGGGCTGATAAACTTTGAAAACCCCTGATTTAGTCCACACTTTATTAGAAAGCTTAATGAGAAACCCTCAACTGACCAACGTCAAGATGACTGTTAGAGTCAGTATCTGTGGACCCATCTGGTGATGGCCATAACATATGGAAGATGTGACTTGGAATTGGAGAAGAGTAAATGATAAAGAGGATGAGTTAAGACATTAGATGACAGAAAGAAGAGAATGTTGCATGTTGGTAAAATGAAGAGAAGGGGGAAGAATGTAATAGATCTGTTTGAAAGTAGTCCAGTGTTTTGGAGTGGAGCTGATGAAAACATGCAGGGGTGTAAAGGTATAGGTTTAATGATGAATGAAGAGTCTAAAATATATTTCAAAAATGGTGTCATATAGGATGTTATAGGTGTATACGAACATAGGAATTCATAACTTGGATACATGCTACATTCCAGTCAGTGGTGATAATAGAAAAACAAGAAATGAGTTTTGGAAACATTAAGAATTAATTAATGATTGATCCTGAGGAAAAAGATGTTCTGTTGGGTGACATGAATGCATGTGTGAGAACAATATGAGAGACTAAGCTATTTTGGCATTTGGAGATCCAAAATATAGGAGATGATGATTTAGAGAGCATCTGCTTAGAAAATGTCTGTTTGGATTGTGTGATTTAATCATAAGACTGCTCATGTGCCCACATGGGCCAGATCCACACTTTCTGCTTTACCCCACCACCAATATGAGTGCAATAATGGATGATATTGTACTCAACTGACTCCCAGTCTGTCACAAATGCATCCCTCAGTCATATTTTGACATTCACCTTCAAAAGTACTGAGCCATCTTAAACCCTTCTGAGTAGTTGTTTTTACCATGCTTCATTCCAATCTAACAACATCCCATATCCAGTTGGCTAAAGTGCCCAGTATACCCAGTCCCCTCCAATGGCTGGTTGCTGCCCTGTATTTCATCCTGCTATATTTTCTACTGATCAGCAGCTTCCCTTGTTTTTCTTCCAGCTGATCCATTCATGGAGTCCAGTGAAGTGTACTGGCTATTGTGTTTTTCCCACCTGTGTTCCATTCTTAGACTTGCCAGTGGCTAACCTTTGGGTTGCTGGCCAGCGTGAATGAAGCATATTCTTCCTTCTTTCCCACCCTGGGTCCACTGTACTAATGTGCAGATAGACCCACTGTACAGGTACTAATGTACCTGTAGGCACATTAGAATGAAGCTACAAAATTTCAATTAACATTACTTCTTTGTTTCTATCAACCAAACCATCAGTTCTTCCTTGCTATGAAGTTTCTATGGATCGACAGTGGAAAGAAGGAGCAACACATTCCCTTTGATGTAATTATTGTAGCATCAAAGCAATAATGATACAAAAGGGGGAAAAATAAGGTTCTGCATTAGTATCAAACAAGGGAACTTAGGAAGGGGGTGTGAAAGCATCCATGTGTGCAAATATCTGGGAAAGCCGAGGGGAAAAATATGGACTACTGAAGAGGGAACAATGCCTAAAGGAAAGGTATTGGTAGACCCACCTACACAGGGGTCAGCCAATGAAGCTCACCTTCCCTCCACTGTTGAGAAGGGCAAGAAGTAGGGGAATGACCAGTCAGAACCTGAGACTGGTAGCAATTATCCAGACTGAGCACTAATATGGCCCTATTGCAAAATCTCTTAAACCCATACTGGAATTTGTTAAGTTAGCTTCAGGAACAATCAGGAGCTAAGCACCTTAGACTGCCATGTGGAATGGCCCATAGAAGGCATGTCTGATTTGATTGTTATGATGAAAGATTGTGAAAATTAGTGAAGGAAAATTAGTGAAGGATAAATTTATCCTAATCACCCTTGGGTGATTAGAAGTTCTGACTATTTATTTATTTATTTATCAAATTCATATAGTACCCATCTCACTAATGTGCTTCTGGGTGACATACAATAAAACAATTAATAAAATATAAATAAGATCACAGCAGAATGTACCAAAATCTCACATATAATGCAACTATCTCATGAACTCCTCATTACCATGGGATCCTCAAGCCTGCTGAAAAAAAAAAAAAAACTATTTTAAGGGAATTCTGGAAGGACAATAGGGATAGGCTGGTCCATAAATTCCTATCACAACCAAAGGATCAACATTCAGTTGATCTGAAAAAAGCAGACCCTGCATGTGCAGGAAAAACACTAGGAAGAAAAAAGAATATGGTCAAGGCTAATCTCATCTCAGGGGCAATAATGTTCTAAAGGGCACATGCTACAGCAGAAAAGGATTGACTCCTGGGTCCTGTCAGATGGAACTCCTTAGCAGATGGCACCTGTAATGTGCCCATCCTGCCAGACTTGATGGGATGGGTAGATGTAATCAGGGAGAGGCGATCCCTCAAATAACCTGTCCCCATGCCATGTAGGGCTTTAAAGGTCAAAACCAGCACCTTGAATTGAACCCAGAAGCAAACTGTTTACTGCTTGATTGTGTGCCTGGTGGTAACCTTTGTTTATCTCACCAGATGATTGCTGGTGAGGCGATCTTCTGGTCTTTTGTCTCTTTTGTCTCTTTAGAATAGTACGTAGAAGCTGTTTATCTCTATGTGTCTGTTAATTGCTGCCTTGTCTGAATACCAAGCTTCCAAGAATTCAAGCTGTTTATCTCTATGTGTCTGTTAATTGCTGCCTTGTCTGAATACCAAGCTTCCAAGAATTCTCTTGCAGTTTTGGATTTAGCTTGGTCTAAAATACTGACAGTTTCCCAGTTAAACCTATGTTTAAGTCTGTCCATGTGTTGTGAGATTAAGGAGTTTTCATCATGTCTTCTGACTGCTAGTTGGTGCGCGTGGATGCGCTCTGCTAGTCTTCTGCCTGTCTGTCCTACATAGTGTTTGTTACAGTCCTTATACTGTATGTTGTGGATGACTCCTGTTTGTGTCCACCAGGCACACAATCAAGCAGTAAACATATGCTAATCAAGGAACTACCAGAGGAGCAAAACGAAACCCCCACACCCACCAGCAGTGGCAAGGCAGGCCACAGTATATAAATAGAGAGCAAACCCCATCCCATTTAGCACTGGAGATGTTACCTAGCCAGGTAATGAAATGTTTGCAAGAAAAGAACCAAGCTCAGAGAACCCCAAGGACTCCGCATTTCCTTTAATCCTAGCAACATTTATCTACACTTTGCCATGAAACAAGCAGAGGCAACCATGGCATTTGAGTTATTGCCATATATTCTGTCTGTGATACTGTCTTTGGAGTATCAATTACTATAGAATAAGGTGAATAGAGTTGTAACAAGGACTGATATGTGGTTTATCAACTTTATTAGCTTCCAATCTATTTAGGTTTAAGTGCTGGTTTTGACAGTTCTTCACTCTTTGCAACATTGGTTACCTTACTAACTATGGTATAACACTTAGTGAAATAACGCATTTCCCTTGATTTTACTAAACATAATTAGCTGACTGCTTATATAGGTAGCAGCACCAGCTAATCTTGATTACTCTTAAAAAGCCAAGTGGAATTTTGTCTTGGTTAGTTGCCAAGAAAATTACATAGATATGTTCACTAAGTCACTAGGAGATAAGGCTCAGCTTGGAAAAATCTTTACTTTTAAATTAACTCATGAGACCACAAAGATACACATTCATGAGAATTTGGTTTAATCTTGGAAAAACACTAGGATTTTGAATAATAATTGCTGTTCAAGATTTACTTGCAACATATCCTTTTCCAAAAAAGAACTGCCAAGGATATGTTGGATACTTGAAAAATTATCTACCAACACATTTATTTGAGGATGTGATATGGATATAACAGGTTAAAACAGCCCTTTCTTTGGTTATTTTATGTAATATTCTGCAGCAACGTATCATTTACTTAGATATGGTTATGTGTTTGTACGCATATGGGTAATACTTTAGCAGGAACACTACAATCCTAAACAATGGTTTTGATTACAGGTATTCCTATGCATTTCATATTTTTAATGAAAAGTACTTCTTCCTTGGTTCTAATAACTAACTTGTACAGATTATAGACTCACTGGCTCCCATGATAGTGCATAACTACTGAAGAGTGCAGGCTGGGTAGCTCTTTATCATGTACATTCTGAGCCCTATTATCTTCTTTGGAACT